CTCCGGCAAAAGATAGTCACTGTTTGCAGGACATCGCCGCCACAAAATTGGCGTGTGCCACAGTTTCCCAGAGTGTACTAAACCCATTTCTGACCTCGACCATAATCTAATCCGCAAATGGTTTGCTTTTAACAACCCCGTCAAAAGTAAGGTACCGTAGCAATTGGCAATTGAGAAATGAAGAACCAAGTCAGCGAGTCTGACCACCCAATCTGATTAGTCGCTTCCTGTGACAAGCATAGTTGCCTCTTGAGACAAGCATCGGTTGATAAAGGCAAATTCTAACCCTGATCGTCAAGAGTAGTATACATAATGCTGAACATTTGCAACAAGACTGTAAAGCAGGCGTTGGGTGTCTGCAAAGCCAGTGAATGGGGGTTTATAGTAGATTTATGGGGCACTTCCTTCAGTATTTGTACTTAAGTCTGATTTTTTACTAAAATCAAATAATACCACCAAGCGGTGGTGCTTTCAGTATGCAACCCAGAAGAAAATGAACATATAGTACCAAAACTTCATGAAAACTTTCAGTAGTTTCTGTGGAGAACCTTACAAGATATGATCTTTAAAGTAAAATTTCGGTGAAAAAAATGATCAAAATCAAAATCCAATATGGCCGCAGCTAAAAAAGATATCCAAAATCGGCTATTAACGTGTTATGTATGGAGACAATTATCAGAAAGTTTGAAAGCATTTCATGCAGTGGATTCAGAGGAGTAGGGATTTGAAGACATGTACCCAAAAGACACTGTGAAAACCTTGAATCCAATATGGCTGCCAAACCACGTGACCAATGACCAAAGTCAAAGAACAAAAAATGTCAAGCGGTTGCGGAGCAATAGGGCGAAAAAATCTTCAAAAAATTCTGTTTTTTTAGTTATCTGCCCTTGGCCTTTGGGCTTACGGCCTTGGGTTTTTGGCAGGCAGTAGTACCCAACAGTGTACATACAGGTTACACACAACCAAATGTTTTCCCATAGACTTCTATAGTAACGTTATATTTTTTTTAAAAATAACTAAGCATTCACCAGCTATTACCTGTATGTGTGTGCACAGTTTGGCCTTAGAGCAGCAATAAAAAAATACAAAATGACTAGCTTAGTCAGCTCCTTTTCCGAGTACCGGAAGCTAAACACAACACCCCAAGTTTCGCACAAAATGTCACCTACTTGAAAATAGCTGTGGTCACATTCAGCATAAGTCATCATGAAAAAAACCCAGTAAAACTGACCATGTTTTTCTATATTTAGTACTAACTGGATGGATGTACATTTTAAGGACATAAAAATCTTACAGAATATCCTCCAATCACAGCCTGCAGATATCTCTCGATCTGTACTGAGGGCTCCCTACGAAAACCGCACTCTCCAAACTGGTACTGATTTGGTGTAGTAGAACCTGTAGACAAATCAGAATATATTTGCACTTGTCAAATCTGTGATTTATGTATTGTATATATATGTAGCTTCTCAGAAAAAAAATGGAAATTGGATTAAACTTCACTACTTGTTCCTATCCAGCATGTCTATATGGCACCAGAATACATAGTTTGGATGCACAGAAAGAGTTGTGAGAGTTTAATGATGTACACTTCATCAATGTTTTACAAAAGGTATTTCTGTATTAATAAAGAAGTTTTTACCTTCATGCACTGACCATGGGAGTTCATTTATAATTCATAAAAGATGGGGGTCAGGGGTCAATTCTATAAATGATTGAGGCTGCATAGATCATAATCACCCTAAAATATTTTTTTCGACTAAAAAAATTGAACAAATCTTTAAACCTCAAAACCAGTTACAATACATATTTAAAATTGAGTAGTGGTCTGTTGTTTGCCTTCCTTTGCTGACATCATCAGAACATAGCAGAGTCTGCTACATTCATGGAATATGGTTTTGACACTCATGACATGATGCGATTGATATTGTTTGAGATTGCTTGAACTTACACCATCCATTGTTTATATAATTAAACACTCAAATGGCTGTCAGCATTTGGTAAATCATCTATGGAGGGGCTATCACAAATGTTTGTGCTTTCATATACTCTAAAAAATCAAAAGTATAATCACCTATGATATAGGCTGGTGACATAAGTACACATTGAAAGGAATCAGAAAAAAATCTCAAAATTGGACAGAGAGCATGGAATTCAGGCCAACAATAAGCAAGGGACACATTAAGCAGCTTTAAAGTCATCATATATGTAAGGCTTGATAATGAACTTTCCCAGAAAATAGGAAGTAAAGGGGTGCATTGTTAACAGCAATCTCAAACACTGACCAGTGAACCATACCGCCTATTAAAGCCGAGAAATTGAAATGGACCCTCAAGTAGAAAAAAGCTTTTTGAAACCACAACATGGAAGGAAATTACACTTAACTCTATTGATTTATTTAGTTAAGACTTTAAAATACTCACAGGACATCAAACATTCTTACTGTTTAATGTTTCAAGGTGGCTAAACTTGCTTATTTCAGTTATTTGCCAGTTTCAATGAAACAAAGTTAAAATTCCATATAATTTTGAAAATGTACAGCTTATCCTGACATAAATGTAATTCTTTTTATTCACAATTAACAGTGTCATGCAATACCAGCTTAAAATAGTGTTTCTCTCCAATAATATATGGGTTTATAGGGGAATGAAAGATACAATGCATTTTACTAAACAGGGGAGATAATTTAGTTTTGTCGAACACTATCACATTCTTTACAGATGATTTCAGAACCATAATGTTACATTCCAAAAGAGCCAGTGGATATTATTTTCATCTAAGCAGGTTCTGGGACTGGTGTATAGCCCTTACTTCATGTTTGCAAACTAAAAAACTGCACAGTGAGGCATTAAGGGAGCACTGTCAGAAATGTCTAGTGCATGAGGGTGATCTTATTATGGCACTTGATAGTGAGCAACAGAGGGGCCTCAAGTGGACTGGGGTTCTTAAATGTACTTACTGTACCTACATGTCCAAGTTCCACAACTTCTACACGGTAATAGAGCGCAGCGAGGCAAAACAAGGGTTGTCGATCACACACTGCCAACACCAGACTTCGGATCAGCTTCTCCAAATGCCAAATTGGATGTGAAAACTTCTACTTCTTCTGCATGAGTGCACATATACCTCCCCAGTCAACATCAGGCATGCTAAAAGCTGAAAAATGTGTTCAGACAATATCAAATGGCAAACCAGTTTGGATATAACAGCCAGGAGTCAGTTCTTGAGGGGACAAAATAATGATTTGAAAGTCATATGAGTGAAAAATAAGTCTGTTTTAAGAAACTTAACCGAAAAATAGCATCTTTCATTCACACAAAAGCACCTAATAGAAAGATATATTGGTATGCTACATTGTTTACTATAAATAAGGGGATTTGTGACATATTCTGCTGTCAGCAGTGTACATGCTTCATACTCAAGATAACGGCATCGCGTAACTTGACTGGCAAGCGATTTACACAAGGCAGAAATTGTTGTGGCAGTGGTGACTTTATCCTAATTTGTTGTCAAATTCATCAGTTTCAACAAATTCAGAAGGCAGGAGGAGGGCTTGGACAGAGGTACCCTGGGGGGTTCGTGCTGAGTTCGACCACAATACGAAGCAACATTCATTTCCAGGCCATCCAAATGCTCCATTCAACCCAAAATGTCTCCAACTTCACTGTCATTATTTTTAAATTTGCCTCCATGGTGTATCCATGGTGAAATATAAACAGGAAAGCATGTAAAGTATGAATTACTGAAATGTGCACTCACCCTACAGGTTACACACAACCAAATGTTTTCCCATAGACTTCTATAGTAACGTTATATTTTTTTTTAAATAACTAAGCATTCAACAGCTATTACCTGTACGTGTGTGCACAGTTTGGCCTTAGAGCAGCAATAAAAAAATAAAAAATGACAAGCTTAGTCAGCTCCTTTTCCGAGTACCGGAAGCTAAACACAACACACCCAGTTTCGCACCAAATGTCACCTACTTGAAAATAGCTGTGGTCAAATTCAGCATAAGTCATCATGTTGAAAAAGACAGTACTAAATATAGAAAAACATGGTCAGTTTTACTAACTGGATGGATGTACATTTGAAAGACATAAAAATCTTACAGAATATCCTCCAATCACAGCCTGCAGATATCTCTCGATCTGTACTGAGGGCTCCCTACGAAAACCGCACTCTCCAAACTGGTACTGATTTGGTGTAGTAGAACCTGTACACACAAAATTTGAACAAAATCAAGCCCGTGGTTATTTTGCTAGGTCTTGTACAAAAATCGGCGGAATAATAGTAATAATAAATAATAATAATAATAATAAATCGAAAGATTACAATAGGGCTCTACAGCCTTTCGGCTTGGAGCCCTAATAATAATCTATGTGTATGAAACATTGTCCAGCATACAGCACACAAATACCATTGATTTTGTTAATAATCTTATCTAGTGATGTTTTATTGTAAATTTCATGTTTTCATTGACATAATTTGCAAACAGCAAAACAAACACACGAACAGCTATTGCTGCCATGACCATAACACAAGATACACAGGAAAGCAGTGTGCATGTAAAGGGAAATAACTGCACATAGTTTGAATCACATTGTTTTTTAAGTATTCTAGCATTTCACTGCTGGGGTCGTGTGTTCGAGACACATACCTTTTAAGGATATTATTTTTTTTAAAAGAAATAACAATCCAAATGTGTGTCTTTAAGGTGATACCTCAGAACCAAGACTATTTTTATTTATTTTTAGCCTAAGATTAGCTGCCCTTGATTAAACATAGGTCATGGACATATTGCAACTTACACGCTCCAGATTCTATACTCTTGAATATTGTTCATTAATGTACATCATTTGTAGAAGTACTGAGTAGGATGCTTGCCTAGCCTTGCCTAGCAATAGTGTGTGAATGAGTGTGTCAGTCAGACAACTTACCGTTTCAAGATACAGACATTTGCAATTAAGGTTCTGTTCATTTAGCTATTGTTGCACCTTCAGGAGAGTCTTGTGTTGATGGGCCTGGTAGAGGTTGATGTTCTGCGACTTGGGGCAACTGTCAAGGACAAGGATGCAGGAGATGTCAGCAAGTTCCTCAACAGAATCCTTGGACTTAGTGTGGAGAAACAGAACTTGGTCAGTCAGTTTAGTTAATTATTATTGATGAGTTCTCTTTTGTGTTATCCACACATGGGTACAATGTGTGAAACTGCCATTACTTCTTCATTAGTCAGGTGTGCTACAGAGCCCTGTGGCTCTATTGTTGGGTTTGTACATCTGTAGACAAGTGTATTGTAAAAAGTGTTTTTGTTGTAGATGTTCAACTACTTCACAGAAACACTGGGGGTCATTGTCCAGAGTGCCAAGAAAGAAGGAAGGTGAAGACTGTATGAAGTGAACATAATTCTCAACTTTTGGTTCTTTCCGCTCTGACACAGAATAATCCAAAACTAAATCCAAGGACTAACTTTATGGTACAATATCAGCATGATAAGACCAGAGTTCTCCATAACACCATTACTGTGAGCTGATGTCATTGATTTGTTGCCATGTCTGGTTCACATGCATTCTGCTTGCCATGTCATCTTTGAAACTTCGTCTGAGTGCTCACAGAATTCAGATTTGATTTTTCAACATGGCCAACATGGTCATAACTGTCTAATTCTTGTGAATACAAAACCCCCATTACATCATTGCCATAAATTCTGTACTTTGCTGTTATCAAACTGTAAAAATCGTTAGACTTTCAACTGTAGTCTTTACTGTCAACTGTCCATAATCAGTTGTGCAAGTAATAGCATCTTGCTGCCCAGCCTCATGCTCATGTGCAAGGCAATAAACCTCACTTCTTTCCCCTGTGTGCTGAACGAAAACGAAAACAAATTGAGTTGATGTAGCACATTACCTTGGTAGTTGTCACACTGCAATTAGATCTTCAATTATACCTAAAATTAGGGTTGTCATTATCCTGAGACCCAGCTGAAGAAGATTGTGTATCTTTTGTTTACGTTATTTACATGTAAGTAATTGCGTTTGGGCTGATCAGCATGGGACTGAACATGCTTTGTTGAAAGTGCAAAGCTTGGAGATGCTCATCTTCTTGTAAAGATGGCAGACTCCTGGTAGAAGACATTCCTAGGCCAAGAGGCCACGAGGGTGACAAGAAAGTCAGAAGAAAAAGATTTAGGCGTTATCTTTTCTGTCTGCACTCTCATCGGAGATCCATACCCAGACATCCCCAGTCCAAGAGGCCATGAGTTGGACAGGAAAGTGGGTCTCTATGAAAAAAGCTGTCAAGTCATCTTGGACAGATATACCATCTCATTCAAGATATGCTGGATGTCACAGCCTCGGTTTATTAACGTCATACCCTCCTGGCAGCCAAGTTATGCATCTCAAGTGATAAATCAAGCTAATTATAACCTGAGGAAGTTATAGAGTGGGGATAAATTACCTCTCCCTCAAAAGAATTGTCACATCTACCGGATGCATAACTTTCCCTCACCAGATCCTCTGTCCGTTGATGAGGATTACTTCATTCAAGGATGTCATGGCATATGTCTAGGATCAAGGATCTCAACGCTGTCAATAGACACACCATTGTATGTCATACCACCTCTTCAAGAATATTACGAGGCCATTCCTGGAGATTCTCCAGCCACCATGCAGACGGTTTAAGTTTTCACAGCCTTCTGGAAAGCATCATTACTATTTGTTAGAGTGCTAGAGGAGTTCTTCTCTTCCCAAGTTTGGTAGTCCAGCCAGCTCCTGTTGTTACCGAGACAACAACCTTCACTGACAAGTCTGGACTAGAGCAGTGACAGAACAGTCAAGGAAGTTTGGCCTGTTGCATCCCATCACCGGCAAAAACTGCTTTAACGACAAGCTTCACAGGATCTTTAATGAAGTTTGCTAGGTTACCACTGTGAGGTTTCAACATTCAGACCTCGTCAGGGCTACTATTCTTTGTCCTGAAAAAGGATACAACAGACATATGTATGATCATGGATGTAAAGGTTATCAATAAGGAATTTCTAGTTCTCCATCCAAGTTCCAGATGGAATTAGTTCGGAAGCTGCGAATTACACTGAGGATGCTAATTTTCACTTACCAATTCATACTGGATCCTGGAAATACTTAAGTTTGTAGTCACAGATGTCGCTACTAATTTCAAGTTTTTCATTTGGCATGCTGATCGCGATCATCAGTTCTGAGCACATCCATCTAATCAGCCTCCATAGGTTCTTCGACAATTTCCTATAGGTGCATCAGACAGGAATAGGCTCCAGCTAAATCTGAGATTCCTGATCCAACTACTATCGCATCTTGGCTTTCTAGTTCTTATGACCAAGGGACAGTAGTAACCTGGTGGTGAAGTGTTTGCCAAAAGTCTGGGTTCAGTTCCACATGGGTACAATGTGTGAAGCCAATTTCTGGCGTCCCTCGCCTTTATATTGTTGGAATATTGTTAAAAGAAGCTTAAAACCATAATCACTTACTTAGTCACTTACTCATACAACCAATTCCAAAAGTCAAGCCAGTTCAGGACATATCTACATCGGCACCAGCTTTACAAGGGAATCCAATGTCCTCTGGAGGATAGATACTTAAAAGATTCTTAATATGGTCATCAAAGTATGGGAATGACCCAACAATGTGCTTCATTGGTGGATGTCTTGTCCAGGGAACCTCACGCCCCTGCAAGACTTAATGTACAGAGGAAGACTTCAGCAATGACCACTTCAACACTGTGGTCGAACTCTGTTAGATACTCCAAGTTGGACACCCGAGTTCATTTCCAGCCAAGCATGATTAGGTTGGTGGCTACAGAATAGTGTCTCCATCCAGAGGTCTTCAAGTGGATTTGGGACACTCCTCATCTGGACTGATTTACTTCAGCAACAAGCTCCCAGTGTATGTCAGCCCAAAGTTGGATCCACAAGCATTAAAAAGAGGCACATTATCCATGGACTGGACAGGGATGTTTGCCCAAGTTTTCCCTCCTTGGCCTATCACAGTCCTGTGAAAGCTAGAATACACAGATTGTGTAATCATGCTCATAGCTTCAATTTGGAAGAACCACTCAAACTACCGGAGCAACGAGACTTCTTCCGTCATCCCAGATCGGATATAATGGACGACAGTCTCCAGCAGTGGCATGATCTTGGTGACTTTCTTCATATGCCATCTATCGCAACAGATGGGACAAGTAGTGTCAGTATAGAAGAAGAAAAGGATTTGGTAATGAAGATTTAACTTTTCACTTAATCTGGGTTTGTTACTCTGTCTCTACCAGGATAATAAGTTGCAATGTGACGTCAAAGACGTCAAAGGTCACCATTAGCCTTGTTCTCTAGTTCTTCAGCATGAAGATCTGTCTATAGGAAATCAACCCATTCTCAACAGATTGAAAAAAGCAGGAATATTTGGGGGAGTGGGGGGGATGTTCTGTCTACTCTTTGCTGCAGAGGACCACGAAAACAGGTTAGCTTACAAGCCATCTCAGTGTTTCAGGCACGCAGAGTTTTTATAGCCATATAACCAGCCATTGGCTCTAGGTCCCCTGGAGCATAGACATTATCCCATTCCTGCTCAAAGTAGAACTGTGGACTCTGTCAAATCCAAGTGGTTTAATCTGGCAGCAACAGAGCTAACAGGAAGCGGCTCTTCATATCCTGCAACCTGCCTTTGACAAAGATATAACTCAGGCCATAGTCTGAAGATAATTTAAGACCACGATTACAGATAGTTACCACCACACAGAACTATCTACTCCTGTGTTGGGATCATTTACGCGACATAAGATCAAAGTTCTAAACCTTTCAATCATTATTCTCTCCTAAGAGAAGGGCAGATCACAGGTTGATGACTGACATCACATTTGGAGGTCAAAGGAATCATGTCAATGCTACTGCAATTGACTTCTTCAGAACCGGAAGTGACACTAACAGTAGTTCAATGGAAGTTTATCAGATGTTTGCAAATGTCCCTGAGATCTTTCTGAACTGGTCTTTTGAGGTGATTCCTTTACAATGTTTACCTAATTTTGGTCTTTCGCCAGTTTGAAGGCTTTGGATTTATTAGGTACCCACAAACGTCTGTTAACTATCTGCATCTATAGAGCTGATCTTGGAAGGATGTACAATTTACTGCCTTGCACAGATGCAAGATCCTTGGCCAGGAAGTAACTATTACTTGCACAACTGATTATGGATAATTGACCAGTGAAAAGGATTTCTTGCAAATGTAAAGTTTTTAAATTGTGATGCCAAAATACAAGATGATGTCATAGAGGTACCATTCTTTAAAAGAATTCACTATGACAACTATTGTTTGATTTTTTGTCCATTATTCAGTTCATTTGTGCAGCACATATCATTATGACTTTTAATATACAGCAAGTATGTGGTGCCGAAATGTAAACCCTAGGTGATTGATAATAATGCTACTGAATATTAGAAAATTCAAGACTATGCAGTGATTCGCGAGTCTGAACTTCAGTGCCATAGACCATGTTGAAAAAAATAAGGGATTTTTTTCTTTTACCTAAAAACTATGATTTGAGTAATCTATGACAAGTGCTTAATAATTAAACTAAAGTTAAAGAGACAGTTTTAGCTGTCAAGACAGTGGTGAATATCTGGCCAGTGAGCATGTAATCAAGACTGTTTTATGCTGACTCCAGGTACAATGAGGGCATGCTTGATATCACTGCTGCTTCTGTCAATATGGTTGAGGATCCAAAGGAAGTCTTCAAAGATTTTGCCAAAGGAGGAGGATCAACAAAGTAGGTGAACTTTTACTGTAGCAGGCCTTGTACACACTGTGCCGTCTGTCCATCTATCGACTCGGAAACATGTTTTGCCATCTTCAATGAAACCACAAAGTTTATGAAACTGAATCTTTGCTTGGATTGAAACTCAAGTGAACTTCTGTCATGACACATTGTCTGACCTCCCTCCATCATTGACGTGTACATTTCCAACATTTCCTTATAATACATTAACTATGAAGCTGAAACATGATCTTATTTGGTCCCAGCTATGGTGTCTCTAAAATGTGCTCACTGAATGGATGTTCTTTGCCAATTTATCTTCCCTTCACTATCCCGCTAGATGGGCTGACCGGGATGGTCAAACCTTAAACTGACAGTGCATGTGGAATGTTCCATATCAGTGGGACATGTTACTATTGCACCACTGGACATAACTAGTGCTGCCTTCACTTTTGTCAGTAATGTTGATGTTGAAGCATGGGCAGAATATCCATTTGTCTTCGTTGTAATAGTAGGTCATTCAGTGGCAAGGTGAGGCGATAGTGTTAAGCTGATCATTCATTCCAGGTCGCTTTAGTTGATGGTTTGCAATTGGTTTGTTAAAGGAAAACACTGCTCCAACTTTGAAAGTATTGTAATACTGATCATCGTTTCTTCGCGGAATCAAAATTTCGACTCGTTTGACTTGTGTTTGGCACTATTCTCGCTGCACTGTGCGAAGTGACACCTGTCGGAGGGTTGAAGAATGATATATATCTAACAAAAGATATACAATAAAGAACTGCAGCCAAACTGACGTGTTTTTGTTGTTGATTAATGCATACCGTATATGACCGCGTATAAGCCGAATTTTGAGGACCAGAAAAAAGATTCTGTAGAAAGGGGTCGGCTTATCCACGGGATACACTTTCATGATCGTATTTTTCAGATCATGATTGACCCGTGAAGATTCCGGGGTAGAATAGGTCTTCAGGAACCCATACTTACCGTAAAAGGCGACTATGTTTGTCGTGAAAGGCGACCAACGGGATCGGGTGGTTCAGCTCTCTGACTTGGTTGATGCATGTCATCGATTCCGATTGCGTGGATCGACGCACATGATGTCAATCACTGGATTGTCTGGTCCAGACTCGATTATTTTACAGACTGCCATCATATAACTGGAATATTGCTGAGTGCGGCGTTAAACAACAAACAAACAAACAGATCGTGATCTGTCAGAAACATCGCCTGAATGACGGTCCGATAGATTACAACTTCCCGAAAGTTTGGAAGTTGCCATGACTAGAGCCATTATTCTTATAAATTATCAATAAAGTAATTATTATATACACCAATGTTGTCGTTATTAAAAAAATGTTATGCATGTTACTACTTCCGATAATAAGTTTTCAATTGAATGTTCAAAGTTTTTCCTTCTTCATAAACTCCACAATCTTTACATGTAACAATATATGTAATTCACAGCTATACTATATAATCCCCAGTGAAATCGCCAATAGCTATTACGTACGTTTTGCAAAGTTCATAAATTGATAGTGAACAAGTGTCTACCTTTATTGAAAGAGGCATATAAACAACTGTATCGGCGAGTTTTTCCGTTCGCCATTTGCAAAAACATGTGATCAGCTGTTTCCTGTTACATCACAAACGGTGACCACTGTGATTGCTACGTGTTGTTAAAAAGCAACACGGTACACAAGGAAATGAGCACTGATCATAACGGGCTGATTGGTATTGTCATGTTGTTTACACAAACATTTTCAAGTTGTGGGTGCTTGGCGATCGTGTTTCTGTAGGGGCTTAATGCCTTTGTTTTCGAGAGATTAGTTTAATAAACTGGAGAAGCCTGTGAGTAAGTGATGGTCATTCAATGTGTTCATAGTTTATTTAGTTCAATTGGATTAACATACAAAAGTGTTATTAAGGGGGGGTATAAAAGTTGGTATATTTTTGCTGACTGACATTCTCATCATGAGTTTGAAACGAAAACGCCATGCTTACGATGCTGAATTCAAACTGCGAGTCTTCGCTCTAACTGATATATTTTCTCACGGGTTCATAATTCTGTATACACCGATTCACAAAATGGCGCTTCATTGTTGATGGCAACATATAACGATCATTTTGAGATTTAAAAAAAACAAGAGAAACAGCTTTCCACATTATTAAAGTGGATGACTGGTTTGTTAAATCTTTATTAGAAATAATAATGACTTTTTCAAAATAATTACAACGTTTTTCATCTTATATTTTTGAATATCTGCGAGTAACGGCGCATGTCTTGCAGTCCGACTTCGCAGTGTTTTTTGCCTTTCACTTCCTGGTTCGGCTTATCTGCGGGTCATATCATTTTTCTTTCGTATTTCAATGGTCAAGTTAACACCTCGGCTTATCTACGGGGTCAGCTTATACGCGGTCATATACGGTACATGACTCATAAGGGTGAAGCTATCAGTCAACATCATATTATGCACAATAAAAACTACATAGTATCCTTCAGAGAATTCAGGTAAAGAAATAGAATTGTGAAGATCCAGGGTAGAATAGGTCTTCAGCAACCCATGCTTGCCCTAAAAGGTGACTATGCTTGTTGTAAGAGGCGACTAACGGGATCAGGTTGTCAGGCTCGTTGACTTGGTTGGTGCATGTCATCGATCCCAATTGTGTGGATCGATGCTCATGATGTTAATCACTGGATTGTCTGGTCCCGTCCGTATTTACAGACCGCCGTCATATAGCTTGAATATTGCTGAGTGAGGTGTTAGAAGTTGACGGGTGACAAGGTAGACACAGTATTAAAAAAGGTGTAATCCATAAAATTGTGTCTACCTTGTAACAAACAAAACAAACAAAAGGTAAAGGAATAGGTGATAACATGCTTGGTCAATAAGAATGTGAAATTTGAGATAAATTACCACTAGACATGATGATTTACCATTTTAATTGTATTTTCTTCTCTGCTTGGCTTTGCTTTGCTTTATTTGAAGAAATGTAGATCACCATGTGTATTTCTCATCAACTAAGACAGTAATAGCAATCAAACTGCATGAACACCACTAATCTACTGTTGATTCGGTTAAAAAATACCCAATAATATAACTTCAAAGAATTTTGATGCACGTACCTAATGAGTTGTATCTGAATCTATTATTTTATTATTATGAAAAGTTTGTTTCAGGTGTTCATCATCGGTGTCATGTCTCATTGGTCACCTGAGATAGCTCACGTAACAACTATGTTGATGATGTCCATGGTTCTTTTAGAAAAAACATAAATTTGGATAACAATGAGCCTCAACCAACGTAGTAACGGTTAAATCTTTGAACAAAGTATGTTGTTTTTACATAGGCGCTCCACACCCAGATTTGAGTGTATTCCATCCGCTTTAGTACACTTACATATACAAACACTTCCTTTGACAAATCCACTGGTCTTTGTCAGGTAATATGAGTGGTTCTAGCACTAGTTATGTAATAAGTCATTAACTTATCATCAAGTAAATGCCGACAAATACACAGGTGTAGGGTTATACAATGAAACATGGATTACAAGAAGGGTGTAGTAATTGTTGTATTACATGCAATTTCCCTGAAAAATAAGGTTCATTGCTGTTTTGAGTATATGAACTGAATGTTGCAAAAATAATATGTACATAAATTTTCTTTGTACATAATTGTACATATACATTACACACGCAGACAAATAGGGCCAAACAGTTAGGTCCATTGGACCATGGGACTATGCGTATTGGAACTTCCTGTGACGAACAACGTTTCACGGTAATGGCGATAGCAGTGTAACGTCGTACAGAGCCCAGCTAAACATATTCGGTAATTTAGTAGTGTAACTAAGAAAACCATGACATGTCACGGACATTAGAACACTTAAGTTTGGTAGCATGAATAGCAAGTGTATGCTTGTCAAAGCAGTTGCAGTGTTGTCAAGACGTCCCATGATCGATGTCAAACTGGCCGCTACCCATTCATAAATTGAGGTAAGTTTTCTCTTTTCAACAAGTTCTGATAGGGTGGTATGATTCTCAGTGTTGATAAGTCAATAATGATCAGCAGACCTGTCAACCCCTCATCATGACAATGTTGAGATTTTAAAAATAGTGAAAAAAAGATAATTTCCACTTTTATTTTTATTATTGTTACGAAGAAAACTAGATATTTTTAAACAATAAATAATTAATAACTTCTTATACGTACAGCTTGCTTAATTTCCGTTTGCATTTTCCTCCTCCAAGAATAAACCTAGCACAATCTACCCATATCACTTTCATTCAAAGATCATCTCAGATAAACGCAAACAGATAGTGAAATTTAACAATTGGTAGCTTGACCAGTTGACGACATGTTCAATCCGACCAGTTGTCAGGCTTCGTTGTGATGCAGGTTTTCTGAGTATTCAGTGCAAGTTTGGTTACAAAATAAATGTATCTAATATCGAATGCCTTTATCCTGACGCAACATGATCGCCCCTAATTTCAATAAGATGTATTGTTTATTTCTGTCTGTTGCCAGTCCAATTACTTCGCTAGAAATGTTCACGTTATTCCATGTCAAGAAATGGATGCCATATTTGGAAGTATTATTACGTTTTACTTCAATTTATGAATGAATGAGTCTCGTTGTCGTTGTTGACCTTTCTGACCTCGACGTGTATTAATCTCATTGGTTGACTAGTACTGATGTATGCGAACTAAATTGCAGATCTGGGACGCACGCAAACTATTAGCCAATCAAATCGTGTAAAATAATCACAGGATACATTCTAGTGAAATTTGATAAAGTTCCATGTTTTGATATTTCTCTGCACACAAGTCATGGTGTCGGTCAAAAGGAAATTTATAAGTTTCACTTTAAACTTTGACTTTGAAACCCCAGCTATGTGAAAGCCTGATTGTTTCACCCATTTATTTTGACTACCGAATCAATCAATCACGCATAGTGTTGTTTCTGAAGACGGCGCTTGCAGGTTATATTTTGTTTTCATTTATGAGAGTT